AACTGCACCCTTCACACTAAAGCTACACCGAACCTACACCTATAACTGCACCCTCTACAACCTAAACCTACCACCAACTACAGCCTAAACTGCACGCCTCTACACCTACACTTACAGCCAACTACACCTAAACTGCCGCACGCCTCTTACAACCTAACTAACACTACCTACCACACTCTACCACCTACACTACACTACACCTCCCTACACCCCTACACCTAACACACCCTCTCCTATCACCAGCTACACTACGACACCACTCCTACATACACCGTCTACCACCACTCACCCCTCTACCACCCTACAACACCCCTACACTACACTACACCTCTACACCTAACTAACACCAAACTACACCTACACTACAAACCCTATCCTCCTCTCTGGACGTTAATGTTGTTGTGAGACGCAGCACATCTATTTTTCTACCACTGTTTATATTAGAGAGAAACTTTATGATTATTTATGTAACACACCTGTACATACACCTGCGTCATACTGTGTCTGTATATATCCTGCAACAGATGTTTTTTATAAGAGATAATGTTTCAAGCCTACAAGGCACATGACCAGAAGAGTCAGAGGAGTCAGAGGAGTCAGGTGAGTCAGGTGAGTCAGGTGAGTCAGGTGAGTCAGGTGAGTCAGGGGTCCGGAGTCTGATCCTCTGTATGAAGGTCTCAACAGAGCAGCTGTGGTCTGATTCAGGACAGTGAGCTGGTGTCTGTGTCTTTAAGTTTATTGTGCAGCAGCTTTCAACCAACTACACCTGAACTACACCTGAAATACATCTAAACTACACCTAAACTACACTCTCTACACCTACACTACACCAACTACACCTACACTACACCCTCTACACCTAAACTACACCAACTACACCTACACCCTCTACACCTACACTACACCCTCTACACCTACACTACACCAACTACACCTAAACTGCACCCTCTACACCTCCTAAACTACACCAACTACACCTACACCCTCTACACCTACACTACACCCTCTACACCTACACCCTCTACACCTATACTACACCCTCTACACCTACACCCTCTACACCTACACTACACCCTCTACACCTATACTAGCCCTGAGTGGTGACTGCAGGTTTCCCTCTCAGGCTGCATACCTCCAGCAGAGGAGGTAGATATTCTATTGAAACAGTAGTTGAATGATCAGTTAATACAAACAGAGCAGTAGATACAGTATTTATTTTATTGATCCAGTAGTTGATTGTTCAGTAAATAGAAACACCTGAATGAAAACAGCTGAGTGATAACAGGCAGGTAATACGACAGAGACACTAATGATGAGCAGGTGAGACAGGATGTTCATCAGTCTGTTCAGGCCTCATCACAGTGTGTTGATGTTGGGTTGTTGTGTATCTGTTGTTGTGTATCAATATGTGTTTGTATGTAAGATATTATTTTAATGTGTAACATGTATTTTTACTTCAATTCATTAAACAGCTGAGACCATGTAGAAATATTTACTCTGATTATTTATCAATCATCAGTCAAGACGGTGACTTCACTGACATCACAGTCACAGTAAGAGTACATAATGTACACACTGTACACACAGTACACACACTGATTTATACTGATGTATACAGTGTGTATACTGTGTGTAGTTGTGTTATATTGTGGTATTAGTACGTTTATGTCTGTATAGTAACTGAACAGTTTTTTCCTGTATTATACAGTATTTCACTTTCTGATGTGTTCATAGTACTGTATGTATTTCAGATTACTTTGTGGTGTGTTCACAGTACTGTATGTATTTGCCCCCCCCCGGTGTGTCCCGTACTCCACGGACCGCGCATGCTCGGTGCCGCAGGAGTTCAGCACATTGGAAGTGTCGGAAGTTTAGCAGCAGTGATTTAGCCCGACAGGCTAACAGCGGAGACTCGGTCCCACCGTCAAAAACTTGGTTTTCTGCCACAAAAAAGTGCGTTTGGACGGAACCTCCCACCCCACGTTGAAGCACGGAGGAGTGTCGATGGATTTAAACCGTTTTTCGCAGTTTGATTGGCACAAACGGGGCCGTTAGAGAGCTTTGAAAGAAGTTGTGATTGTTTTTTGGCGCTCTGGCAGCGCAGAGGAAAGATGGAGGATCTGCGGGTGTAGCAGCGGCTAACGTTAGCTGGCTCCTCCGTCTACTGCCAGCGTCGGTCGGGGACAAACCTGAGCTGCTTCACCGCTGTGTGGAAAAGACTGGCCGCTGTTTTCCAAGACGCTGACGGGGCCTGGTGAGTACGGCTGGATGAAAGGAGCCGTGTTTTCACGTTTCTTTACGGGCTAGCGGGCGGAGAGCGTCGGTGTGTGGGAGCTAACTGTAGCCTTGGAGCTAATCACCAGAAATGAGCGTTAGCTTATTGAAGCGTAGCTTCGTGCTAACTAGCTGCCATTACACACAGTTAGGTGACTCACACACCTAACACACACACACACACACACACACAAGCGTAGCTTCGTGCTAACTAGCTGCCATTACACACAGTTAGGTGACTCACACACCTAACACACACACACACACACACACACTTCTGTCACAAAGTTAACGTTAGCCTGTCGCTACTCGGTGTGTCTGCTCGTTTAGTTAGTTAGTTGGTTAGTTAGTTAGTTAGTTAGTGAACTTATTCAGAGTCGGGGCTGGTAAACACCCTGACTGAGTGAAACACAAACACACACTAACTGAAATCAGTGGTTTGCAGCAGGCCTGCGGGTAGTCACAGTCAACACAGAGTAAACGTATGTGTTAATTTTTCTGCTGACACGTTAGTTAGTTAGTTAGTTAGTGATCGGTCAGCAGAGCTCAGTGATGCTTCATGTTTGTTTATTCTAGTAAAAACTCAGACTTTAAATAGATTGCAACTAATGATTATTTTCAATATTAATTAATCAGCTGATTATTATGTTAGAAAATAGTGATAGTCTCAGTCAGAGTCTTCACTTCCTGTTTAGTCCAAAACCCCAAAGACGTTGAGACAGAAAACAGATGACAGGAAGTTTAACTGTTAATCAATGATGATAACATGATTGATTATTAATGCCAATCATAACAAGGAAATCAAACATCCTGTGGTTTCTCCAGTGAGATCTTTAGATCTGACTAAATGATTGACCACAATAGCTATTGATAAGAGCTGCAACTAACGATTATTGCTTCATCTCCCAGTTATTTTTCCAATTAATCGTCAATATTAAATATGAGGACATAGACAAATAATCACTGGATTATATCAGCTAATGTTTCTTCCAGTTTTCTGTGTTATTCTTCAGTCTTTAGTCTTTCAGCCAGTTAATCAATTGATCTATTAATCATTGCATCACTCATCGATCATCAGTGTGTTACCAGTATAAATGACCAGAGCTGAACATTCAATAATCAAACTTGTGAAACTAAGAAATATTTTTTTAAACTGTCATTGATCCAGTTACAGTTACAATTTATTGATTCATTGATTGAAAGCTGTTAATCACATCATATTGATCAGGGCATGGACCATAGAAATAAAACTGATAGAATTCAAAGTGAGAAAGGTTTTTGATTCACAATTTAAACACATTTAAAAAAAAAAAAAAAAAGAAAAGCGTAAATGTTTCATTTCAGACTGGAAAACGTGAACTTCAAAGACGATCAATACACCTATTATCAGGTCTATAAAAGTTCATCAGTAGTTATTTTTGTCCAGTCAACTGTGCTTCACGTCACCATAATGACATGCTGGATGATTGAAAGTGTCTTCTTGTCGCTGATGTGGGTGTCTGTCGGTGTCTGTCGGTGTCCAGGTCTCTGTTGATGTTTGCAGGTTCACTAAAGCATGAGCGTCCCTCAGGCTCTGAGGATGGGACCAGAGCTACCGGAGGCAGGATCTAGGTGAGCTTCTTGTCACATGTCACTGTGATGTCTAGAGTGTTTTTCTGCTGTGGGTCTGACCTGTGTTTGTGTCGTGTCCCAGACGTCAGATGGTGCTCTGAAGAAGCCATGGGTAGCTGTCTAAGCTGTCCAGAGAAAGAGTCAATTCCAGATAATCATCAAAGTAAATTCAAGGTGAGTTCCTGCCTCAGCCTGTTGGAACACACCCCGGATTATTCACTGATGACTGTGAAGCTTCACAAACTTTCCACCAGTGAAACAACTTCACCCGACTCTAAACCTTTTCTCTCACCGTCATGTCGGTTCAACCCTGAAGCTGACAGCTGATTGGTCTGCAGCCTTTGACACATTCGGGGTGGAGCAGAAACATTTAAACTGGGTCACGTCCCACACAAAAGTAACGGCTCTGATACAGACGGGATCAAACCTGTGACATTTCACACTGAATCCCACAGTGAGATGTGCACCTCTTCCCCATCACGTTCTTTGACCCTCCCTCTCTGTGCTCCTCCTCATCACTGACTTTAATGACTGGAGCTGCTCGTTATCTCTGGTACATCAGTGAACTCTCTCTAACCCTGACAGATGCAGGTCCACATGAGCCTTCTCTTCTCCACCGCTCTAATGATTCAATCCACACTTTCTAAGTAGAAGTAACAGCTAATAATAATATAATATTCATTATAAACCAGTCCCTCCATGATTTCAGGCTTTTTTTGGGATTGTTGCGGCTAAAATACTTAATTTCACCACAGCTTTTCTTAAAGATTGTGATGAATGTTCCTTTTTTTGCAATGAAACAGTTGGAGAAACGAGATTGTGCTCCTCTGCTCTGTCTTA